GATATGATGACAAAGCCTCTGGACTTTTGGAAGACCGTATTGTTCTCAGATGAATCAAGATTCCCTCAATTTTCGGACAGTGGAAGGATATGGGTCTGGAGAATGCCTCACCAAGAATTTTTGCTCAACAGATTGCAGCCAACTGTGAAGCATGGTGGTTTCAGTGTGATGGTTTGGGGAGCTGTTTGGGTTGGTGGGAGATCGAGCTTAGTGGAGTGCGTTGGCAACATAAATGTTGCGAAATATGTCGAAAAATTGGAGGAAGAACTACTCTTGCCACTTTATTCATCGTGTTTCGTGGACAAGAACACAACGTTGTTCCAGGAAGATGGAGCACCGTGTCCCACTTCTAGAAACACCCAAAAGTGGCAGGAAGAAAATGGTATCCAGAAGTTGCCCTGGCCGAGCCAATCTCCTGACATGAACCCCATCGAAAACCTCTGGGCCATAATCGACCGGCAAGTCAAGAAACAACAAAAAAACAACAACTTCGAAGAGCGATCTACTCCAAGTTTTGAAGCAAGAGTGGGCGAAAATCCCACAATCTAAAATTGACGAAATGATTCTCACGATACCCCAAAGGATCAACGTACTCCACGAAGCGAAAGGAATATCTACCAGATATTAATTAAATTATAAATATATCAATTTATGTGAATATGACTGAAAATTTTCATTTTTTTCTGAAAAGGTGGTGTATATTTACTTGTGACCACGCTGTGTATGTGACGTTTATGTGTATGTTATAGAACATTTAATAAAGTTCTTTCTTTTGGTGTAAGGACGTAGCGCCATCTATGAATGTAGTTTACATTAACTTACGTTAAAGATAATAAGGGCTCAATGACAGCAATAATAGGGGTAGAGAGGTTGTGAAGCCCCAATAACATACCCCTTGTCCCAAACTATCTTCCCACAAAATTTTGTAGTAACTGGCCCAGCGACATAGAAGTAGTTAGATAACTGACAGACAAATAAACAGACACACAGATTCTTGTGCTTTATTATATATATATAGGTCCTACTTAATAAAGGCTAAACTAATGTCTTATAAATTTCGTTGTCTGGTATTAGAATTATTTTGTATTACTCTAGAAACATTGTATTTAAACAAGCATTGTTTCAATGAATATATTAATTTGACAGCAAATATTTCGCGGGTCTCTACTTGTATATATTACTTGTGTATATTTTTATTCTTAATTCATCATTATCAAATACAACAATATTACAAAATACTCTGTATATCAATTTAAGTTTATTTTACAAGTACATGTATATATTTCAATCACACCAAAAAAGTCTAGAAGCGGCGTTTCGGTCCGCTCTGGCTCTGCTACTCCACTGGTAAGAAGAATTTATATAACTTTATAGATACAATATTTCTGACTTTTAAAAGACGCTAATCACAATAAATTATATTAATAATGTGATCTTTTACTTTTAATTCGATGCCATGTAAGATATAAATAATGCTTGTAAGGTCATAGTTATTACAGCATGCTTGGAACAAGGCTGTTGCAATATATTTTTGTTTCCATTTACGAAAATCAGTGAAAATTGCCGAGATTTAATAAGGTAGTGCCCGAATGACCGTACGACGTTATAGCTTTGAGATAAAACAACGAATCCATTGGCTGACCCTGTATCTGTGAGGCTATACATAATATTGTTTATTATAATTATGAATAATTATAATTTACTGTGTGTATCTTCATTAAATTTGGCAAGCTTTAGTAAACACAAGTCCGTTAAACATACACACACAAATCAGATTTTTAAGTTAAACATTTTTACTAAAGATTTGTCCGAAGTCTTTACTAAGTCAGTTTGTGTGAAGGTGATTTTCATGCTAAGATTAATAATACTATTTTTCATCTTAGAGTTTTCATATTTCACTTGCTTAACCTCTAGGATCTCCTAAATGATTAACAAATGTTGCGTCAGCGAGATCACGTGACTATTCTCACGCCCTCTGCTTTCTAGAACTA